AAAAATTAAATTCATTTTATAGGTGGATTATTTAGAATTTTGATGGAATGACATTCCAAGCCATACTGATGAGACTCGCCAGAATCGTTTCGCCAGAATTTCATCGTAGTACCTATTCGTACTGCTACAACACAGTAGGCAAACGCACTGACAAACGGTAGAGCAAAAACTGTTCAATCGAGAACCGTTGGAATCGAACAGGTGCCCTGGTGAACTCAGAGAAAACAGTCGATGGCCACAGTTTCCTATAAGACTATAACCAATCTCGTCATTATACCCGCCCGGGAGTGACATCAATAATTATTAAATGGACGTCGGTAGCTTCGACCACACTTCCACGGTGAATGAATTCAGTGGACCGCGGTCCACATTGTAAACAGTAACGCTGTTGGGAAAAAAAAGTAGATGCAAAAAAAAATGATGTAGGTTTTGTTCCTTTTATTTAAACAGTTCAACAAAAAAACATAACTGTCTCGGCGACATAACCCGACTAGGCCTGACAATGCAATAATTCACATTTTCCTAAATTGGAGGTTAGTTTTTAAATGTGATAAGTGCAGTGGACTGTATTTTAAATTGATTACATGATAATGATAACATTCTTGCTAAACATACCGGCCCCCTTGAGAGGTATTCTCAAAAGGAAGTGGAATAAATAAATAAATAATTTAAACATTGTAAAAATGGCATAATGGGTAAGTTACAGATAGATTTCAACAGAGTATAAACTATAGTATCATAACAATATAAAATTCACATAAGGTGACACAAAATTTCTTGATTAATAACAAAACAAATAATTGAATAATTGAATTAATTGGCTTTAACCAGTTAACTAATGTTCGATAGGCAGTCTTATGAGTTTATTAATAGGACGCTTTAGCACCGAATCCTTTGTCTTCAGTGTGACAACTCGCACGAAGTGGTCTGCAGGATTGGGGTGCACCTCGAGGATTCTGGCTAGGGGCCACTGAGTGGGAGCCATATTTTCTTTCTTGAGGAGAACGAGATCGTGGACTTGGAGGTTAGGCTGGGGAGTGGTCCATTTATTCCGTTGCTGTAGTGTAGCCAAATAATCTTGCGACCATTGTTTCCAGAAGGACTGCTGCATTTTCTGTATTCTATTCCACCTGGTGAGTCGATTAGTGGGTGTTGGCTCAGGAATGTCGACTTCAGGTAATGACATAGGAGCTTTACCTAACAGGAAGTGCCCGGGAGTCAGTGCTGAGTAATCGGTGGCTTCCATACTGGCGGGGCAAAGTGGTCGAGAGTTAAGTTGCGCTTCGACTTGACAAAACAATGTGTGTAATTCTTCATATATAAAGACACTATTTAGAGTTATGCGTTGGAGTATGCGTTTACAAGATTTGATGTTAGCTTCCCAAATACCACCAAAATGTGGCGAAGCTGGTGGGATAAAGTGCCAGTCTATCTCTCTGGGCAAACAGAAAGTATTCAGGGCTGAGTTCAATTGTTGAGAGCACAGCAATTTGTACACTTCATGTAGTTTATGATGTGTACTAGTAAAATTCGTACCATTATCACTGTACATTTTAGTTGGATAGCCTCGTCTGGCAACAAAACGTTTCAGTGTGGCGATGAAGGTATCGGCTGACAAGTCACTCACTATTTCTAGGTGTACAGCCTTGGTGGTCAGGCAAATGAAGAGAGCTAAATATGTTTTGTACACAATTCTTGAACGTCCAACTGAGGGCTTAGTACTGAAAGGTCCGGCAAAATCAACTCCACAATGGCTGAACACTGGTGCGTAATTAACTCTAAAAGCCGGTAAGTCAGCCATGAGTTGGTGGGTTTTGACTTGTCGAAATCTGCAACACTTAACACAATCATGAAGAACCTTTCTGATGATGCTGCGCCCATGTACAACCCAATACTTCTGCCGCACCAGAGACATAGTGACATTGAGACCAGCATGCTGGTGCAGAAGGTGGATGGAGCGTACTACCATAGTTGTATACAGATGTGCCTTTGGTAAAAGAACTGGATGCCTCATGTCATAAGGTAAACTAGACTGAGTGAGTCGACCACCAACGCGTAAGACCCCTGCTTTGTCAAGGAAGGGGTTTAGGCTGACCAGAGTACTGGATGACTTGACGGGGAGACCCAGTCGCAGCTGATGAAGGTCGAGTGGAAAGCATTCCTGTTGTACTAACCGGATCCATTTTAAGTTGGCTGATCGCCATTCACACACAGTTGGTAATCCAGTTAGACGAAGAGCTACAGGTTTTTGGCAGTTGTGATAGAAACGTAAAATGTAACAAGTGACATGCAATAACTTACTCAAATCCGAGTACTTAGCTAGCAAGTTGGAGTTAAACGCGTCAGCTTCTGTGGTCACATGTGTAGTTACCTGTGGCTTACGTTCCTCTTGGAGAGTTTGATTTGGATCCTCACATTCAAACGTAGACTGTGGCCATGGATTGGGGGGTAATAGCCATTGTGGACCATGCCACCACAAGGCATTTGTAATAAGTTGATCACCTGACAGGCCCCTGGAGGCCAGGTCCGCAGGATTGTCCTGAGACGGGACATGCCGCCACACCGCTGAGGGACACCAGGTTTGAATTTGACTCACTCGATTGGATACAAAGGTAGTCCACCGGTGTGGATCACTCTGAATCCACTGTAGAGTGATTGTAGAATCCGTCCACAAGTTGACTGATTCTATGTTGATTGTAGACAGTGCCTCTAATAGGTGTTTGGTCAAGGATGCTAACAACGTGGCACCACACAACTCAAGCCTGGGTATTGATTGGGTCTTAAGAGGTGCAACTCTGGTCTTAGACAGAACTAAATGTGATGATGATTTACCGTCAGGAAACACTGACACTAGGTAGAGAGCAGCAGCATAAGCTTGTTCCGAACTGTCACTGTAACCGTGTAGACTATATGTGGTTACCTGAGTGTGTTCGTCATTGCAATGCCGTGGTAATTCAAAGAAGCGAAGAGCACCGTAGGAAGATCGATGATCCGACCACCATTTGATCAGTGTGTCAGGCAGCGGGTCGTCCCAATCCAACTTGTTCTTCCACAGGTGTTGCATAATGATCTTCGCAACGATCACAAGTGGGCTTGACCATCCACACGGATCAAAAATCCTCGCGATTTCCGAAAGTAATGAGCGTTTAGTACATGTTTCACCAACCTTGGAAGATTCAACATGAAATGAGAACGTATCGCGTTGAGCATTCCATGATATACCCAATATTTTGATTGACGGATCCATGTGGTCGATCAGCGTTAGTTGAGTGGCTCTTAGTGCTGTCGGAATGTGCGTTAAAACTGCTTCACAGTTGGTGGCCCACTTACGTAGTTCAAACCCACCTCGGGCGAGCAAGTGTAGTAGCTCCTGGTGTAGCTTGATTGTGGCAGTAATGTCATCTCGTCCGGTCATTACCTCATCCACATAGAAATCTCGCTGTAGCACCGCAGCTGCCTCAGGATGAGTCCCTTGCTCGTCGTAGGCCAATTGCTTCAGGACTCGTAAAGCATGGTATGGTGATGTGATAAGCCCATACGTCACCGTATTTAAGGTATAACTTCTTATTGGACTAGATTCATTTGGACGCCAGGCAATACCTTGGTAGACACGATCGTCGGGGTGTACTAAGATTTGTCGGAACATTTGTCGAATGTCTGCGGTAATAACATAGCGAGGTAGACGGAAACGGATTAATATGTCAATTACCTCTTTCTGTAATTTTTGTCCTTTGTGAAGTAGTTCATTCAATGAGTTTCCTGTGTCCATGGTGCATGAACCATCAAACACAACACGAAGCTTCGTAGTAGTACTGGATGGGTTTAAAACTTGATGATGTGGAATGAATATAATCGGACTTGGACTAGTGGACTCTACTAATGTCATGTGATGGGCTGTTACATAATCACTCATAAAATCTTTGTAGAGTTGGTGTAAGGCAGGTTTGGTCTGCAGACTTCTCTCAACTTTCTTTAAGCGTTGAACAGCGAGCTGGTAAGAATTGTTCACTAGCGGTGGTTCTTTTACAAAAGGAAGTCTGACAGTGTAACGACCAGAGCTGTCTCGCGTAAATGTCTCAACAAAATGCTTTTCACACTGTTGGTCTTCTTTGGACATACATGTGAGGCGTGGTACCTCTTCCAGTTCCCAAAATCGGTTCACAAGTGATTCAATCGTCGTGGTACAACACGTGACCGACTTAAACATTGATAGTTCATTGTGGGGTTTAGATAATTTTCCACATACTATCCACCCAAAGATAGAGTTGTGTAGCGACGGCGTACCTTTGGGTCCTTGTATTTTACCATCGAGCATTATATCCAGACTGTATTCAGCACTTATGAGTAAGTCGATTTTGTTGGGCACATGGAATGTTGGATCGGCTAACTCAACCTGCTCTAAATGAGTCCACTGTGAAACATCCACGGCTGCAGTGGGTAGATCCACAGTTATCTTAGGAGACACTAAGGCAGTTAACGTCATTTGTTTGCCATTGGTCCTAGGAGAAATATTGAACGTGGAAACTTGAGATGTGGTTGTAGAAGCATTTGATACACCATCAATTATCATTGGCTGATGCAATGTTTTTAAACCTAACCGACTTGCTAAGGCTTTAGTAATGAAATGTGATTCAGATGCAGTGTCTATTAATGCACGGCATAGTTCTGACCGTCCACTTGGTCCGTACACGCGCACCACTGCTGTTGATAATATGACCGTTGACTTTTCTCTTAAGGCACCATGATTAACTGCCACAGTGTCTATTCCACTAGATGTCGATGGTTGTGTCTTGAGAGTCAACGTGGGCACTTCAGAAGTATTGTTTTCTCCCTTAGAGTCACCAAAATGTAAAAGTGTATGATGTTTACCACCACATTCTTTACATGTTTTATCAGATGAGCATTGACTGGAAGAATGTGAGGCCCGTAGACAATTTATACACAATTTGGCCTTCTTAGCCAATGCATGTCGCTCACTCGCTGTTGACTTCATAAATAAATTACACTGATAAATAATATGATGCTGTGAACAAATATTGCACGGCTGCAGTCACAGCATGAGTTGTTGCTCGACTGTTGCACTTGTTGGTAAGCTTAGATCTGGGTGTACTGGATGATTGTAGTTGTAATAAATCTAACACGTGTACTCTTTTCTCCATAAATTTACACATTTGTAACCAAGATGGAGACTCATAGGCAGATGATTCAATTTCCCATGCTTTTCTGAGTTCACTTGGTAAACGGGATGATATAAGGTAAATTATAATTGTATCCCAAGACTCAGTGGGTTGTTTTAATACTTTTAATGCTCTAAGATGTTTATTTGTTGTATCAACCAATGCCTTCAAGGAGCTAACAGCTTCACTCTGAATGTGTGGTTGATTGAACAAATGTTGTAAGTGTACTTGTAGAACAAGACGTTCATTATCATAACGGTTTGTCAACAAAGACCAAGCCTCCAGATAATTGTTACCAGTCGATGATAATGATGCAATTACATTAGCCGCTTCTCCTGATAAACATGATTTTAAATAGTGCATTTTTCTGGTGTTGTCAATGTATTTATTAACGTGAATAACAGATGAAAATTGGTCGTGGAAAGCATACCAATCTTCCAATTTTCCTGTGAATGTAGGCAGGTTCATGGGAGGTAACCTGATGGATTGTTGCCCTTGTTCGCTAAGTGCATTTTCGTTTTGAGGTTCGTGTGTAGTTTGCCTTAAGTCTAATGTACTTTGCAAAATCCCCTTGATTTTAATGAACGTCCGAGATACCTCTTCCAAGGCGTCAATCATTAACTCAACCTCAGAGTCCTCGACCAACAAGGACAGCTCATCGTGTGCATTTGCATACGTTGTAAACGCACTTTCTGCAAGTTCTAAATGCACTTTTATTTCGTGACTCGCCAGTCCCTCCATTGTCAATGTGGTGACTATGTGTAACTTTTTCCTTATCAGCTTTTCCTTGTTTGAGAGAGTTTTTCGTAAAGTTGTCAACTTCTCCTCCATCTTGAATCAATTAGGTAAGTCAATACAAAATAGACGGAAAGCCGATTACGCGATTGTACAACGCACGACACAGACGGAAACGCACATGTAACGCGTACGAAAACCGACGACCGATGTATACGCGAATGTAACGCGCACGACACTTAGAATATGACCGTCGGACACGCGAATGTAACGCGCACGACAATTAGAATATGACCGTCGGACACGCGCATGTAACGCGTACGAAACCGACGAACGATGTATACGCGAATGTAACGCGCACAAATCTCGAATTCATATCCTGCTCGAATTGACCATTAAATGTTGGGAAAAAAAGGTAGATGCAAAAAAAATGATGTAGGTTTTGTTCCTTTTATTTAAACAGTTCAACAAAAAAACATAACTGTCTCGGCGACATAACCCGACTAGGCCTGACAATGCAATAATTCACATTTTCCTAAATTGGAGGTTAGTTTTTAAATGTGATAAGTGCAGTGGACTGTATTTTAAATTGATTACATGATAATGATAACATTCTTGCTAAACAAACGCCGTTATGGTATATATTCTCAAATCGCAAGCGGTAACCACGATGTTTTCCATCGTTGTTGGCCAGTTGTCTCGAAAAAAAAAAGCGGTTGTCACCTGACTTTTCCTCCGCGTCCGTCATGCCTTTCGATTGTCGATCAGCGAGTACCTAGTGGCAAGTACGTATAATAAAATAGGTAGTAACTATAGTAGCGTTGATTTTATAATAGTATATACTATAGAAATATATTATTATGAAATCAATGGTAGTAGTGTGCGGTGCGACGAAATTCAAATGGTACGAGTAGAAATGGGTCGCCCGTTTCCCGAAGACAATGAGCCGAGGTTAGGCTCACCTGTAATACTTACAGCCAATAAGTTCCTTATAGAGCGAATAGTCGCACACTAGTTATTCAAACACTTCTACGACCCGTTATAATGATAAGAAAATAAACTAAGAGCTTAATACAAGGGTTAAATAATATTTATATTAGGTACACAGAGCAGATGATTTTCTTTGAAGATATTTGTAAGCATAAAGTGTGAACTAAAAATCACGATTCAACGAGTAGTTTCTGAGTTACCTAATAAGCATCTTATACTAAAGATAATACTATAATAATAGTCCAATAGTCCACAATATAATAAGTTTAAAAGTTACTTGGGCAGTTGGGCTACGATACTTCGAAAATTATTGTAATTATTAGATTAGTCATTACCTAATATCAGTCATCAATTAACATTTTGTGACCTGTAAAAATTGTCTGAATATAATTAAATAGCTCAATGCTTGAATTGGAAAAAAATTGGAAGTGGGGTACAAACGAGTAAAAAAAAATGTGTGTACCTAAATAATTAGAGCAGATCTAGGGTACGCTATAATATTATTTTTAATTAGTGGGACTTCGCCCCCCCCCCCCATAACACTTAAACCACTGAATTAAATACTAGTCTAAAGCTCTAAGCTTTACATCTATTTTCTACTCTATGTAAAAACATGCATTTGAAGGGATATTATCTTTAACACAAATTCTTGTTTAAAAAGGACACATTGCCACAATATTGTGTTGCCAGAAAATCTTCATCTTAAGGAAGATTTAAGCCTTAGTTAAATTGTTTAAATTAATGCATTATTAAAATTTTAAAGGATACAATGAGGGTACGCATTCATATTTCGCTTAGACAATGAATCACCATCATGCTTTACTATACATGAATATTATGTATAGTTAAAAATTAAAATAATTATAATTACAAGTATGTCCGTATAAAAAGTTCCACTTAGGGCGTTCACTCCTCTCCTAAATACGGTTATGGTTTTTAGTTTTTAGTTTTTAGTATCAGTGGTTTTCGGTTGTGTGACAGGAAATATGTACTTATAAAAATATTAAAAGACCATGGTGGGCGGGGAGAGGGTTAGTTTCCGTCCACCTGCTCCCTTAAGAGTACGTCCCCCCTTTCTGGGTAGGCATTATAATTATAATTATGTTTTATATACTTTTACTGTGGATCGCCTTAACTCGTTGAGGAATTTTTTAACGCTAATTCAAAGAATAATTCATTGTTTTATATTTTTATTTTTCCAAATAATAATATGTTCTCTTTGATTTGTTACCTACTGGCATAAGGCATTAATGAATATAATGTTTAAGGTGCTATAAAGGCGTATAGTGTATAATGTATGCACTATTATAGTAATAAATATTACTGTTTTCAAGATATTCAACTATAATGTATACCTATGATGTATAAAACTCTATTGAGTCTTGACTTCATTAACTTTTATACTTTACTCAGTAAAGTTTACTGTATGCCTACTATGCCTAATAGGTAGGTATACAGTAAAGAGTAACATGTATAATAATTAATAAGTAATAACTTATCATTTTAAGTTAACGTGGAAATAAATTAGTTAAGTTAAAGTTTAGCTTATAAAATAATCAAACTGTAGTAATTATTGAGTTAATAAGCTGAAATAAGCTTAATTTTTAACTTATTAACACGTATTAATGACCAGTCTTAATAGATAGTGACACTTAGGTATAATATTATTGTACTACACTATAAATTATTATAGTCTATAATGTTCGGGTACTATTAATGTCTATTTGTTCAAAGAATCTTTTACAAAAACAATAATAGTAGGTAGGTACCGCATAAATGTTAATTTTTTAAACAATGCTTTAAACTATATAGTTCTATAATATTGGTTATCTAATTTACTATATCGTTATCACTTTATACCAACCTATACTTATTATATACGTGGATTTATAACAGAATATTGAATTCTTTTATTAAGATAGTACCTACCTATGTTATCCTGCTTGTTTTTGAAATACCTAATCAATTCTAATTATGCTTTAACCTTGATCTGTCTTTACTCAAAAATGGACAAGTCGTAACACCTGCGCAACACGTGTCAACTAATTCGATGAATAATAACTATTTTTAAATGGTATTCGAATTGTTTTGGGCATGAATATATAAATGTATAATATATTAAATCTTGTCTTAATTAATACAATGTGTCGGTAGATTGATTACGAACAAAGTTGTAGTTTATATCGTCCGACTAATTGGCCTAATGTAAAATGTATTAGGTATGAGTATATATACATATATATATATTGGTACTATGGGTACCTACTACTTCTGAAAATCGGACTATTCTTATTATTTATCACACATTAATTTCAGTTCTAACTTGGAGTAATATTATCTATTATAAATTTAAAACAATAGTTATTTGTTCATAATAAATTAAGCTATTTACATCGTGATATGATTTTAAAAAGCATTGGATATATACGTTGTCATCAAAGAATAATAAATAATTTATCACTGTGAATCATATACATAATCATACACGATGACCCAGATGCCGATTCTTCAATGTTCTTTGAGTCCTTGGATTACCATATGGTTGCTTGCACGTTTTGGATACGTAAATTTCAATGTATCTTGGCCTAATTATACATAATAAATATAATTTGGATTTATATAGAGAACTTAAAAGTTTGAGGGTTATAACTTTAGTAGGTATGTGTATTTGGTAGTTCAAACATAATGACCAACACTTTTGCTAACACCTATATATATATTATAATAGTTATTGATGATCATAAAAAGGATACTAACACAATACAATCATTAAATAAAAACTAAAATATTTCAAATGTAGATATAATTCATATTGTTTTATAATAGGTATTATAAAGGTTTAATTTATATTCAAACTTATCGATTGTTGCAATGTTTAACCAAAACAATATATTTATTTTAAGTAATATAAACTTTAAGAATGATCTGTACCGACCAATTTTTAATCTTTTTTTCTGTGATATCTAATAAGCATTATTATTTAAATCTCATATCCTCTACAATATATGTACTACTTACTTACACATTGTTTCTACAAAAAATATAAATATAACGAATGATAAGTAAAGTATTTAATATAAATATTAAGTATACGTGTAAGATACTATCACAATACATTTTATATAAGATACTAAACGTAAACACTTGCACGTTGTTAATTATTTTTTTTTCCAATAAATGAAAACATTCGAAACTAGTATATTGTGGAAAGGGAACAGTTGTATACTTGAACAATATCAAGGAACACATGTAGGTGTCTTCTCGGATGGCGCCTTAGCAACAGTTTGTTTCTTATACCGATCCGATCAACACGTTCGTTTTTGATTTAACCCGTTCCTCGCATACAGCTTTATATTCATTTACCTACGCGTATTAATATTATTCACTTTTTTTTTTTTTTGTGAGCAAATATTTTGATATTATCTTTGTTATTTCTTAGAAAAAGTGTTGTGATTACCAAAAAGATAAACATAATATTCAGACATTTCTTTGGTATGTACCTAACTATGTTTGTAATTGTTAATGAACCAATGAATTACATTGTTTTAAAATACGTTATTTGATCATATTATTTTGTTTATGACAATTACAACTTAATTAATGGTGAAATTGTGATTACTTATGTAACTTCTTACATTTATCAATATAGTAAATGTAGTAATAATAAAATTATATAATTATCTAAAATGATATATTAAAACTATTTGACTCTTAAGTTAAATAAAAAAAATAAAGATACCTATCTATCTACTTGGAGCCATGTCTTGCTTTTTTTCTTGTTTTTTAAATGTCTTGCTAAAATACTGGTTATTGTGGTATAGAATTTTATCTTTAGTACAATACTGCATACACAACTATTTATCTTTATCTGAACATGTTTTGTTTTTTTATTTTTATTTTATCAAAGTGCAAATTTACATATTTATACATGCGATATATAGGTATTGTTATTATACATAACATAATAGTTAATACAATGTCCTAGAACTTAAAGAATTTGATATGTGGTTAAATAAAAATAGTTTTTCGATGTAGATATTTTAAATAAAGTAGGTATTATATTATTGATTTATTTTATATAATAAGAATAAATTAATAATAATTGG